AAACTTTGCAGTAGAACTACGTTGCAAGATTAAAATATTTGTCTGACAAGAATATTGTATAACAAGAATAGTGTTACACCAGAATATTTGTGTAAAAAAAAGTTGTGCAGTGTTGCACCAGAATATTTGTACAAAAAAAAGTTGAGCAGTGTTGCACCAGAATATTTGTATAAAAAAAAGTTGAGCAGTTACACCAGAATATTTGTACAAAAAAAAAATTGAGCAGTGTTGCCCCAGAATATTTGCATAAAAAAAAATTGAGCAGCATTACACCAGAATATTTGTATAAAAAAAAGTTGAGCAGTTACACCAGAATGCTTGTATAAAAAAAATTGGGCAGTGTTACACAAGCATATTTCTACAGATAAAAGTTGAACAGTGTTGCACCAGAATACTTTCATAAAAAAAATTGAGCAGTGTTACACCAGCATATTTCTACAAAAAAAAGTTGAACAGTGTTGCACCAGAATACTTTCATAAAAAAAGATGAGCAGCATTACACCAGAATATTAGTATGAAAAAAGTTGAGCAATGGTATCAGAAATCGGAACATCCGGTAAACATGTCGGAGCGTTTCCTATCGATTTCGGTTTTGTTCGAGCATCCTGATCGTTGTTCGAAACGATCGAGGAACAACAATAGCAAAGGACCTTACGTCGCCCTTTGAAAAAGCTAGAATCAACAGACTCGTGGGAGCGTGCTGAGCGTTCATTCGACATTATTGATTCTCACCCTCTCCTCTGGCTCCTCTCTACTTCACCTACCCTTCTCGTTCCCTCTTTGTCTTACTCTCGCTCTCTCCTTCTCTCTCGCTAGACCGTTGATGAAATGCACTTCCAGACACGGCCACTCTCCTTTCCCTCTGTGTTGACTTCCTTTTATTTCAGCCAATAATAGATGCGCGCCGGTTGATCGATCGCCAGCACAGTTTTCTGATTTATTGCTGTCACGCAGACCACCCTTACGACACCCCTCCAGGGAGACCCTTTGCGATTCGTCAAAGTGGTTCGTTCTTTAGTTTTTTCTCCGCAATCATTCGATTTACGCGCAGGCCCCGTGCGCGTCTTTCTTATGCATTCAAATAGCCCCTTTTGCTGGGTTCACTGTAATCGGATCTCTTGGTTTTCTGGTTTTGGGATTTAGGGCGGAGCTATTCACGATTTCGGAGCTCTGGATTTTGCCAGCGAAATTTGCTAACTTAGGGATTCTCTATTTTCGGATTGGAGAGTTTAGCAATTTTGCTAACTTTGAGATTTTGCAATTTTGTTTTGGGACAAATTTTGTTTTGGGACTTTGAAGTCTATGAAACACAAGAGTTTGAAATTTAGAAATTTATCAAATTTCTATACATTTTTAACTTTGACATTCTGAAACAAAATATCCACTGACCATAAAATGATTGCAAAGAAAAAACATCCCCTAAATATATATTCATCCCCCAGAACAATATATCCAACAAAATCATTAAAGAACGAAGTACAACATCACAAACCAATCAACATAAATCAAATATTTTACACACCCTGTGAACGAAGCCATTAAAGAGTAAAGTACAATACCACAATTAGACCCGTCGTTATAACCCGATTGTCGTCCCGAATTGAAACTAGCGAAATCAATGAGAAACTAATTGCGATACAATACGATTAATAAAACGATTCGAGTTAACGAATCAACGAAACGCATTTCGCCGATTGTCGGAGCGTTTCTCAGTTGGATGAACGTAAAAAGCAACGAGAACGTCGGTATTGTTTCATCGATGCTAGTCGAGAATATTTGGTTGGTGGAAAGAGGCGCAGCTGACGGAACAGAAGGGAAGCGACACGCTCGACAATTTCAGCGTTCTCGTGTTCAGGCCCCGTTCGCAACAATGCGAAATGTCGCGTTACATTGTCGCAGCGAGGGTATCGATCGTGTCCGGTGGAAAGCAACTAGGCATCGAAGGCTAACTGTCGCGTGTCCTTTCGCGTGGACAACGGCAATAAAAAGAAGGGCCAACCCGTTTAAATCGTTCGAGTGGATATTAAGCTGAGTACACATTCAACGAGCCTGAACAAACATTAGAATTTTCTACCTTTCATCGCTCAAACTTTTATATGTTCACTACTACTCTTATAGTCACATCATTTCACTTCTATATGAGGAGCAAAAGAAATATTATATTTGATATTTTGCTGTATTGTTATGTTGGCAAGTTTTATTTGTGTTGGTAGTCTTTGATGGTGGAGTTTGATAGGTAGTTATAATGGGTGCTTTATTGATTCTAATATCAGAAGTTACGAAATTCCATTGTGAGTGGAGATATGGCGCGTGGGAGTACTACGCGTGCAGATACGGCGCGTGGGAGTACTAAGCGTGGAGATATGGGGCGTGGGAGTACTACGCGTGGAATTACGGCGCGTGGAGGTACCACGCGTGGAGTTACTACGCGTGGAGGTATCACGCGTGGAACTATGGCGCGTGGAAGTACCACGCGTGGAAGTACTACGCATGGAACTACGACGCGTGGAGGTACTACGCTTGGAGGTACCACGCTTGGAAATACTACGCTTGGAGGTACCACGCTTGGAAATACTACGCATGGAACTACGGCGCGTGGAGGTACCACGCGTGGAGGTACTACGCGTGGAAATACCACACGTGGAAGTACTACGCGTGGGGGTACCACGCGTGGAGGTACTATGCGTGGAGGTACCACGCGTGGAAGTACTACGCGTGGGGGTACCACGCGTGGAAATACTACGCATGGAACTACGGCGCGTGGAAGTACTACGCGTGGAGGTACCACGCGTGGAATTACGGCGCGTGGAAGTACTACGCGTGGAACTACTACGCGTGGGATTACTACGCGTGGAAGTACTACGCGTGGAACTACTACGCGTGGGAGTACTACGCGTGGAACTACGGCGCGTGGAAGTACTACGCGAGGAAATATGGCGCTTGGAAGTCCTACGCGTGGAAGTACTACGCATAGAACTACGGCGCGTGGAAATACTACGCGTGGAAGTATTAGTATTTGTTTCCTTATAAATAAAAGAAGACTAGCTCGCGAGGAAAGGTAGTTCTTTGAACGACATGCAACAGATACGGTGTTGCACCCTTCTTACCCCCCGGGTGTGTTTCTATGCGCCGTTCTCTCTCGTTAATAAACGCACATGGTGGGACCAGCTGACGTGTGCCGGCAACAGGAAATGAAACGGCGCACCGGTTTCGTGTGATTCACGAATTCAAATATTCATGGCTAGAGCCAGGGGGTTGGAAGAACCGGATGACAAAGAACGGGGTGGAAAGAAGGAACGTCGCGTTATCGGTGCCCTTTAATTTTCGACGCCACAACGTTTCGTTCCACTCGAGGAAATCCTCCGCGGATAATTAAAAGCTGTTATTTCGAGGCCTTGGATGCCTTTTATTTTCTGTTCGCTGGTCCTGAAAATGCTACATGGTGAACTGAGCTGTCGCGATATTAATTTTTCACCGTTCCAGAACACTGTTTTCTGCTTTTCTAATTCTCAAGCTGTATGCACTGTAAAATGAAATATTTAATGAAGAACAGTTCTGTTAAATTACAATTAAGTTTTGAAGTAATTTTTTATTAATTTTGTGGATGATCATTTATTTTTATCGATGGAATATTGTAATTATTTTCTGAGTTTAATGAGTGCAATTTCGATGAAAATGAGACCTGTTCAACCTTCGGGTCGAATGTTGAAAATTTCGAGACGCGAAAGCTTCAATTTGCATTATTCATTAGCAACCCCTAATCAGCTTTGAATTCCCCATTAACTCTGATTGAGCGTATATCCCTCATTAATTAATATTCTGCGTTAATTTTAGTCCCCCAATACGGACTAAGCCAATTCGTTAACTGTATCAACACGCTGAGCTTAGTAATTTCGACCGATAGTCTGTAATCGATAATTTACACCACAATAAGTTTGAGAGGTTCAAAGACAATCATAATTAATCAATCCGTTTGCAGAATCTTGGACCTGCTAGAACCGTATGCAGGATTATCCCTCTTAATCCCGGAATATAAATTAATCAGACGACGTTACATCAAAATCCTTGAAATCCCTCTGTTTAAGTTCATTAATCCTGTCCCTTTTATCGTGCTAAATATGTAACTCGTGGATCAACCACGTGGAACCATTTATACGAATTAAATTTCTTCGAGGGTCTCGTAAATCGATAATAAGTCTTGCAGTATTTAATGCGCGACACGTTCGTTTCATCCAGCGAATTTAGGGTTATTAAAACTTTACACGGTGATCTACGTTGTAGAAACTTTTCTGTGAAATCTACTTCATGTTTTAAGGCTTTTTCAAAATTAATTACTTTTATTCGAGCTTTTACCTACTTTACGAAATCAGTGTTTGAGACATTTACAGCAAGCATTAAAATTTTGTAGACTGAAGGGGAATTTAAGAATCTCAATTTGTTCTATGAAATAGAACTAAATACTGCAAGACTCGTATCGATTTGTGAGACCCTCGAAGATATTTAATTCGTGTAAATGGTTCCATCTGGTTCATCCATGACTTATATGCCACGATAAAGGGGACGGATTAATGAACTTGCTAGAGGTATTTCAAGCATCTTTATGCAAAGTTTAATTTACATTCTGGGATCAGAATAATAAGCATCAAAATTTCAGGAAATCCCTTGACCTGAAGGTCTCCTTGTCAGAGAACTGCTAAGCGATGTCAAGTGGAGGGAAAATTATTTCACACTTCCACGTCAAGTGTGGGTAAAATTATTTTATAATTTTGCATCCACACTTCATGTCACTTAGTTTGCAAGGAGACCTTCAGGTCAAGGAACGTTCTTGCTGTTCTGATCCCAGAACATAAATTAGACGATGCGTGAATACATTTTCCTCTTTCACAAGTCTAAAGTCCTGGATAGTCAAATTTGTCTAAATTTACTGAAATCTGAAGTAGTAAAAAATGTTGCAGAAGGATCAGAAGCAATCGCTAACCGAATGACCGGTGTTTGCGCAGGATACACGCACGAATCGTGGATCAACCACGAGGAGCCTCCAAAATACGCGACCTTGCGTTCCGCAGCGGAGCTGGCTCGGCCAGTGGTGCCATCTCCGCCTCCTCCGACATCGCAGCAGGAATTACCGGTGGTGGTGACCGGGTCGAGTTTGCACCAGGCCCACCCGGTGGCCCCAACGACGACCCCTTCGTCGTCCACGTCGTTGAGTCTGCCTCCCAGGAAGAGCCTGTCGATGTGCTTCACGAGCACCGGGACTGCGCTCTCGTTGCCCCCGAAGAAAAAGGACATCTATCGGCCGTACAGTCTTCAGCCTACGTCGGAGATCCGGACGTCGGCCGAGGAGGATTTGTCCGCTGCGCAGGCGATCCTCGACCTGAGCGCGTCGCCCG